TTCGCCAGCGGCCACTGCCGCCTGGGGCAGCAAAAGAAAGTTCTGTACACAATAAAACCCCCATTCTGGTGACTCTTGACTTTTCCCTCCAACCTGGGTTTCGACCTGATGATTGTAGTGATCCGAGTACACCCACTACTTAGAACCCTACAGCACCACCTTGGGTTGGGTATGACTGGCTGATGACGGCTGATGAGCTATAAATGGCCGTTTCAATCTGCCTTGTCCTTCCCAGTTATGCTATCCGCCAGGATTAGAGGAGTCAGGTGACTTGGGCCAACCAGGTTCCAGGTAAGCAGTGCGGCCGCAGCCAATGACGAAAGGCTGTCAACAGCATGCAGCTGGCAGGTAGTCAGCACGCAAGGGCAAACGCGCACGTGCTTTCCAGTGGAGTTACCTGATCCTTTGTGGAACGGTGGACATTTCCAACGGAACCTGGGACCCAGGGTTGGCATTTTGAGGCCCTTTATAGTTAAAGCAGAGAGCAAATTGGTAAAAACTAACGGGGGATGATTCTTACCTGGTTTGCCAATGAGGGGAAGTACTTGGACTCTCTCGTTGCTGGAAAGTCGCATGTTGTTCAATGTTTCCCGCAGCTTCTCCAGAACCACCGCGTTTACGCCCCTTGTGGCAGCCGCACTTCTACGACGCTGTAAGCGCAGTTCGGCGAGCGTGTTGGCCTGGTCTCCCAACCAGTTGAAATCTGTTTACAATAATATCACTTCACAGATAATAAAAATATTGAACATTTTAAAATCACTCTTTTAACTTCCCAAGATGGTCAGGTCAGGTTTATTAAGGGAAATATAGGTAAATGCCTTCCAACTCCCTAGTGGTACAGAGCACCTTTGGAATACATTGGTTCAGCAGAATATTTCAAAAGAGGGACGATACCAGTAAATGGAACCGCACAGCAAATGCTTCCACTTCCCCAGTAAGATTAGTGTCTGACTGTCGGTCGTTCGATGGTGGTCGATAGACCATCAGGATGTCAGGGGCTTGTGATCCTGACGTTCTAACGGACCTCTATATTGAACGCGAGCTGTTCAGTTCTGTCTGACACGAGCAGATCATGTGTAAAATAAGTGAGCACACCCCCACCTTGACGCCTGACTCTACCTTTTCGGAACGGCTGGAAACCGGCAAGAGCAACTTCCCGATAGTCTACCTTCTTGGACAACAATTTTTCTGTTCTACAGACGATATCTGATTCCAATTGGGCTTTAATGATCTTAAGCTCGTCTAATTTAGAGAGCAGGCTTTGAGCATTGGTGTACATGCACTTTAGTTTCATTGTTCGTTGGAATTTGGCTGTGTCTGTCAGGTTCTAGCCGTCTTTCATAGTACTGCGGGCTGGTTCAAGAAAAACGTCATATTCTTTTGAACTATGTTCCTGTTGAAGGTTGAAAGGCTTATCTCGCCATTCTTAATTCTCGACTGTAATTCTGCTACAAGTTCCCGGCGTTTCAGTCGTTCCGCTAGGGAATAGTCCGGTTGAAAAAACCTATTTATGCGAGCGAGGAAGGTTGCTTTTTTAGACAGGATCAACTTGGCATGTTCCTTGTTTTCCAGCATAATTTTGTAAGGTCGGGGTCGCGGCGTATCTGTGGTATCTTCAGGCCTTTTCCCGATCCGAAATGATTTCAGAACTATAAATGCTACACCTGGCGGGAACAAATGGCTCAGAACACGATTAAAGGAAACTGGGTCGTGCTCGCCTTGGTCGTCTGAGCGGTCTGAACTTGATTCTTGTAACCCCTGAACAACTAGACAGTGATGAAAATCCTGTCGGTGTCGGGAGTCCTTAGATACAGTTCTAGCCACATTTTCTACTATGAGCCTCAAGCTTGGACTGGCCGATGTTGATGCTTCCCCGGCATGGACTTTGGTGCTCTTGCTATGGGTGTTCGCGAGGCCAGGCACAACAACGTTGGGGACCTTCACTTCGAGTAATGGGCACGCTCGTATCTTTTTAGCAAAAGCTTTAACTTTGAGAAATGGCTCACTCGTATCTTTCATGTCTACAGCGAGGTTATTTGAATTCGCCTCAACTGTGGATACCTGGTCAACTTTGGGGCCCTTCACTGTAATTATTGGCACGTTCGTATCGTCCTTGTCGACAGAAAGGTTGTTCAAATTCGCCTCAACCCTGTCTACTTGGTCACCTGTTGTTACCCTTAGATAGCCAGTCGAACTTGGTTACCGGTTGAGTTTGGTCATGTTTTTAAGTCACCAGTAGAGCTCTTTGCCATCAGTATATTGTTTCTATAGTCAACTTTTGTCTTATGAAGACCGCGGTTTGGTACCAAGCTAATTGTGTACGGACTTGCGAGGGGGGACTTTGTCTGCGACCCAGTATTACGACTGATGCTTTCGAGGTACGGCGTGGCGTTCGTGATAAACTCCCTACATTACACTGCTGCCCGAGAGACAGCGAGAGACATTTGGATAAAGCTTTACTGTTTATATTATTGTAAATGTCTGATGATGAATAATCGAAAGGGTACGTTCGTCAAAATTGACTTTTTGAATGTTTCAAAGATGCCAAAAGGTCGTCTACCATTTGTTTAGTACAAAATCCCGGACATAGTAACTCTGATATTAAGCATACGCAATTTAAAGATGAAGCAAAGTAGATATTATGCCTGAGGACTGTGAATCGTTATAAATTTTCCAATCTTAAATTTGATCAAATTTTTAAGATTTTTGCAGCAAAAAAAAGCAGAAATGTTATCTATATGTCCCTTTTTCTATGGAAAACTCAAAAATTGCACTAACTCGGGCATTCTCCCTCGAACTACTAAATGAGACCTTAAAGACACGCCACAGGAGCAGAGGTAACTATACAAATTTGACAGGGGCATAGTGTCAAAGCTTCCCCGCCTCAAGGTCACATCGTTAGAATATAAATACATCGTGTGCACCATTGTGAGAGGGATAATTTTTAGTACTTATTTAATTAATCGAATGTAACCCTGTATTATAACTCCTGGCAATGTGGACGTATCAATGTTCCGCAATAAACTGTGTTAGATCGCTACCCAACTCTGGTTACAGTATAATTTTATATATGTAGGCTATCTCGCATTTCAGACAAACAAATGGGCAAAAAGTATGGCTAAGGAATGGAACTAGTTGTGCTTATTTAAATCAGGACACAATTTAATCAAGGCTTAATGACGTAAACGGTCCGTGTGCCCCGAACTCGATCGCACTTGGACAGGATCGAGGCCATTAGCTAGGCTCTATTTGTTGCTTTGTTGCCATGGCGACAGTGAAAGTGAAAGTGCATCACTATGCCCAAAGAGGGGCCTAAAACGTGTCAGAAAAAGACTGAAGTTGGAAAGGGCTGGCGTAAAAAATAACCGAATTCCAGTATAAGCTGCGTAGCACGATTGAGGCAGACTCCGACTTGAACATTATTTGATGCATTTAAGTCTGGAAGATTGGAAGAGGGGCAGGGGAGCGACTGATCGCGCACTTGATAACCAAAATGTAGGTGGTTACATTTAGCGGTTTCCAGGCGAGGGGAACATTGACTTTAGAATACGGTTACTCGGGGTGCTCCCCAATTTGCATAAACTGGGGACGCCACCACACCAGGATCAGTTCCCTAGCAAAATATGGATTTGGCGCTGGTGGGCTTTTCCGGATTGCCAGCCGGAATTCTAACTTTCTGTTTTGCCCTGAGGCCCGTTCTAGTGACTACTTATAGTCAGGTAAGAATAAAGGGGACCGCAAGCTTCGTTGTTGGGTTCCCCGACCTCACCAGTCTCTCACTTACCTCGGTACGCGTCGTGGTAACCGACTCATAATCGACTACTCTACAAAGTGGTACGAAGCCGTCCCTCTACAACAGCAGGACGGGAAGTCTATCGTCAGGGCCATCCTCAAAGTTTGGTTACGC